CCCTCCACCACCAAAACCTCCATCTGCATTGTTATAGGACCCCCTCCCACCTACACCTCCATTTACAAACGCCTTTCCACCTCTACTAATATTCACCCCATCTGTCAGCAGACCTCCCCCACCCCCTCCAATATTATCTGACCCCCCCTGTACTGCCCCAGCCCCATCTTTACCCCCTGCCTTCCCACCAGAGCTGGGATTGCCTGATGTGTCAGTGTTGCCATCACTGTTAGCTTTCCTCTCCGACAGACGGTTACCGCCGCCTCCGCCGCCTGCAATGATGAGTGGTGTTTTGTTGTCCAAGGTGACAAACGTCCCACCGCCCCCGCCTACACCTCTTCCCTTTACATCCTGCACGCCTTCCTGTCCCACTAGGATCCGTAATATCTCACCTGCAGTTAGAAACGAGCAAGTAACTGAAGCAAAGGCCACCGCGGAAAACCGGGTTACTTTGTATTCAGTAGCCTCGGTATTATTAATGTGTCGGATTATAAATTTATCGGGTTATAAAATTAGACGTAAGAGGCTCATGAACAAGGCTTAATTAGTGATGATTAGTGAGGTGTCAACAGGGTAGATTAAAGGGATAATCTGCACATTTTCTTTCAAAGTCATTTCTGGCAAATCAGAGAGACCTGGGATGAAAACATGCTCTGGACCTATTCTTTCTGCCCAAAGTTATTTTTCCTGTACCGTGGCACCAAGGAGCTTTAAAAACTCCTTGGTGGTGGCACTTACCCTTTTTAAGTCGAAAAGTTCCTTTCATCACAGCACCTCTTCCACGAGTTGATTTCGATGTGTCCTTCCCCCATCCTGCAGCAGCTCCTGGTAGAAAACCGATTTGATATTTAGTTTGTGGTCATCTGCATGTATATTGGCGCACCATTCAGACATGGCCACATGCATGTGTACGAGTAGCAGTTAAATTCAAGGTGTGAAGGATATATCGTTTCTAAGCAGATTCCGTACCTGCTGCTTCAACCTTATACGTGCCAGTGTGCTTGATTGTGAAGACTTGAGTCCCGTCCTGTAGTGACACCCGTCCATCATGGTCCTGTCCGCTGTAGTGTTGTCCCAGGTCTGTTGGACCCAGACGACCCATTGTGCCCAAAGTGGTGAACGTCGCGCTGAAACCTTAAGTGAACAATTAGCCGGGTCACTGCTACAAAAGGAGACATCTTCAAAGCGCCGGAATCATATTAGCCTGGGTGCCATCCTCCGTAGTTTCCGCCGGCTTCCTAATGTCGTTGTCTTCACTAGGGAGGATGGCACGCAGGCTAGAATCATATATGATACGTGTTGATCATGAGCCTAAGTAACATTGCAATAATATTGTTTTCACTTTGCAACAGTTTTATTTTTAGAACAAGATTGTCCTCATACTTGTCTTGTTCCTTTATATGCCAATTCTAATATCGTCTGCATAATTGTATTCTGGATTTATGTCCATCTCGACACTCAAACATTCTACTGATATATTCAGTGAAACAAGCATTCAACAGCTGCAGCATCTTGAGCACACCCCTTAAACTTTATGTAATTACAGAAAATGTACTGGACGAATCCTGTGCCTACGTATACATGCGGCTCTTTGGAATATTCGGTTCGATCAGTCTATTTTCTTGTGGTGAACTCAAGAGATCATCAGCCGGAAAGCCACGTCGAGAGTTCTATGCGTTTCTCTTTTCCTTCCGCGAGAGAAAGTAGTCCGTTCCACGGCTCCGGGCGTCGACTCGCCTCACAAGAAAGCTTACCGCGGGATTATACAATCACATATCTTCCTTATTGTAACTTATTAATAATATTTAGCCTTCCTAATTTGCTCCCAATGAATTTTGGAGCCGAGAATGTACCTTTCCCCTTTCGATATCATGACCTGAAACTAGGCAATTTTAGTGCAATTTCCCCGTGTATTTTCACCTTGATGCAGATTTCGCACCAACAGGAAATTTGTTGGCTGAGAAAGAGCAAATCTTAAACTTTCTGATAGTAGTTGACTTACTTTTGATTCGAGGAGAAACGGGTTTCCCCCGAAATTCCGTCAGGCCATGTTACAGGAAAAGGCAGAAATTTACACCAAATAGAACGCGCATCCCTGGCGCGCCGGTACGGTGTCTAAGCTACGTGTTCTACGGAGCGCGCTCCTCTCCTACATGTCCTATACATGACCATACATAGCTAGATTTAAATTATTGTCTATCTATGTCTAAACTACTTTTAGTTAGACCACACTGGGTGTTAATTCATCTCATATCTAAACAGGTTCTTTTGATTTTGCACTGAGAATATATGTTTCTGGTCCCTTGATAGCTACGACCGATCTGAAAACTCGAAACCAGCGTCTGCCTAAACGCGGGGAAACATTATACTCTCGTAGCTTCCTGACCTTTGAAAAATTAATTATAGCAAGCGGACCATTAGAACTAGAATACCTCACACATTGATTTATGATTGGGGTAATTCAAAGAATAATAATTGTATCCGTTTTTCTCGATTTGAATGGCACTGGGTTTAAACAGTTACTTTAGAAAAGTTACATGTATCCACCTGCTGGTTCAGTAAAATGTAGCCTATGGAAGATAACCCAACAATTATGGTCCCTAATCAGGACAGTGCAACATGTACATTGTATGTTGTGATTATTGGTAAGTTTATCCTGGATCTGTTATATCCAATCTACATGTATAGTCCATGTGTACTGCTTACTGTAATAAGATAACAGGTCCTCATGTCCCTAGTTTTACAGAGTAGCACTTGTTTATTTCTAAAAGTGCTGGGCCTTGGGAAATCCCTAAACAGATCTCTCTCACATACATGTTAATTGTCCTTTATATTGATTAATCAATTATACACAAAATTACCAAAGAGCCATTAAGGTTGCTTTAACATTTATCTCATTACCAAATAACGAAGTAGTACATTTTGTTGTGGATTGGGATATCAAATACTTGTGATATCAAAGTCTCATTACATTGTGGATCTTTTACAGTACATATATTACTTAACACTTGCTTGAAAGTTAGAGTAGACATTGGATGCTGAATCGAATATTAAATACGCTCCCAAATTGTATTAACATTACAATAAACAAAATAAATGGGAATTAAGATCTCTGTACATAATACATCTTATATATATATCCATAATCTCAAGCTAAATATAACATCCTGGTATCCTGCTGGTGACAATCCTGTTGGGCATGACTTTCACCTGCAAGATGGAAGAATAAGAAAAAATCATTAAGAATGATATGACACCAAATTAAACCCAATTCACTCATTAATCAACATCAGAGAATTCTGAATCTGAAATGTTATTCAATGCAGACAAGCTGCCTATGTAAATGTCATCTATGAAATTAACATCCTGATACTCACTAGTTAAAAGTCTTTCTGAATCATCATGAATTTCCCAATTTTGATCAATATGGACTAAATCAAAATATTCAGAATGAAATGTTGAAGTTGGCATAGAAGAAATAAGTAATTTAGATTTGGACTGTACAGCTTGTATAGAAATCCCAATCCACCCACTGGGACTTCCAGCAACAGTTGCATAGGGGCTACCACTATTTATGTTGTCTACTATATTGAAGTTACAGTAAAAGAATCTTTTGTCAAGCTATGCAAACTCTTCCAAAGTCAATTTATCCAAAACCCCAGAAATAAATGTTTATGAGAATCACTAAAATAACTCTCACCAAGGCAATTTCAGAGTTAATTGCATTAAATCATCAGATTGGCTATAGG